GAGAGAGGGAGAGAGAGAGAGAGAGAGAGAGAGAGAGAGAGAGAGAGATAGTGCGTGCGTGCGTACGTGTTTGAGTAGTTGGAGAGAGGTGCGCAGAGGAAGGGGGCCCGTCAGTCTGGGAAGAGTCGAGGCGAGCGATGCTCTCACTTCCCGGGGGGCATCGCCGCTTCGCCCGGGCTTATCGCTCGGCTTATCTCGACGGCGAGTCTCGAGCACGCAAGAGCAAAAGGATACGCGCCCGCCCAGTGCCGGCAGAGCTCTTGGCTAATTGCTGCCGCAACGCCCCCCCCCTCCCCCATCCCCCCCTCAGCCCCCGCCCCTATGGCGCCACTTCTCGCCAGCGGCCAACCCAGCGGCCCTGGGCCCCCTGGCCAGTTCGGTGCTCCGTCGGTGCCCCTTATCGCCCACCATTTTTCCGACTTCCCGCCGGTCAGCCTTTGCTCTCGTGGGAATCTTTACGAAGATCCGCGCGAGCCGTGCCGTGAAGCCGATATCGGCGCCGAGTTAACGTTTCCCCCACCCGCTTGCCACCACTTTCTTATCGAGTACGTCGGCGCTCGTGCTCCGCGTTCCCCGTGGATGACGCTCGGTTTTCCAATTTATGTCAGCGAGCCCCTTCTGCAAAAGTATCCTCGTTCGGGCCCGAGTCCAGCCTCCCGCCCCGACCATTCTAATTCATGATCGCTTCTCCTTCGCTGATTAAATCGCGGCATTGAAATGAGTTACTCGTTAACTTTGCCACCAACGTAAAATCTGGCTTGGCTCTTAGGAACAATTATAATCCAGCATGGCAGCGTCGGCGATGCTGATTATTCAACGATTTTATATACTATTATTATCCTAATAATCATGGCCTTCGTCGTTTTCGTCTATCGTTATTTATCGTTGTTGATCGTTGTTGATCGTTGTTGTTGATCGTTGTTGTTGATCGTTGTTGTTGACCCGTTGATCGTTGATCGTTGATCGTTGACCCGTTGATCGTTGATCGTTGATCGTTGATCGTTGTTGTTGTTGTTGTTGTCGTCGTTGTCGTTGTTGTCGTTGTTGTTGTTGTTGTCGTTGCTGTTGTTGTGGTGGTTTCCATCGCCGCCGTCACCATTACACGTCAGCTCGAGATATTTAATTCGAGGCGCTTTTGCCTTATGTACAATCATTCGATATGGTATAATATGTTTTCCACGATAAGGCCTTTTTTCTCTCTTCTTTCGTTTTATTATATTTACACCGACGTTCGATTGTCTACGTTGGGAACGAAGCGATTAGGCATGCGCGTATGTATATGAGCGCATGTTTACCGTTGCGAAAGGCCGATTAACAAACCATAAAAGCGACGCATGTGCCGTCATTGACAATTAAGGCGGCCGTGAAGATTTTGGCGAGCCCCAGACGACAACGATTGGGCGATCGGCTCGGATAAAAGAAATGAGCGATCGCACTTTCCGCGTCCCCCCCCCCCCCCCCCCCCCCCCCCCCCCCCCCGCCCCCGCGCCCCGTCGCATCTCGTCGTTCACGAATCGTGATGATCGCGCGACAACGTATTTACCCGAGAGATCGAGAGAAGCGGCGAGCGTAGCTTGGACCCGGTCCCCTCGGTTGGAAAAATCCACATGTCCGCAGGTGAAAGCGACGGCCCGGACGCTCATCTCGTCCCCACCGCGGCGCGAGCGCTGATAGCGCGCCCGGACGCTATTTATAAAAGGGCACGGGCAGCGGCGCGTCGAATCAGTTCCGACGCCACCGGCCTCCAGGCACATTCCACGAGCAGCGGAATACTCCGCGACGCAGCGCCGACTCCCCCACCCATCGCCCACCACCATCAGCCATCGAAAGACGCGACATGGAGGCGTCATACTCCTAGCATCAAAACGCGAGCAGTGCGCTTAGAGACCCACGTCGTGAATTGCGAGAGCGCCGTCTATAGAGTCGAAGATAGATAGATAGACAGATAGACAGAGAGAGGCTGCTAGAGAACTGAAAGAGCAAGATCGCGTTTTGTTACAGAAACTCGGTTGTGTCTCCTAACGGCGCCCGTATAACCCGAGTGTGGCTTTAACCGTGCGTCTACGCGGCATAGAGCAGCGGCCCAGTTATGTTCTCGATCGAGTACAGCAAGCAATTTCTGAGCTACCGCATACTCAAGTCCAATCGATTCAAGTACATCTGACGATACGGACTCGGACTAAGTGCTGTTTAAAGTAGTGCGGGACACGTTGGTGCCCGGAAGCGCACACGAGGATCTTAACGCCCCGAGGGACCTGGAACGTCTCTTGCGGAATATCGACACGCGTTTACGACGACTAACGATAGAAGAAGACAGAGGGGGAAGGAAGAGAGAGAGAGAGAGAGAGAGAGAGAGAGAGGGAGAG